CCCGGGAATTTTTAAAGCAAAATGGTAGGAAAGTTATTCGCCCAATGTTTGGTAGCATATGAACAAAATGGTAACTCAGAATAAAATGGTGTTAGTTGATTTGAAGGAAAAGACCCAACGGACATGGAGGGAAGCATGATTTTCCCGAAGACTAGAATAACTAGAAGGCACGGTTGAAATACATGTGTTAAACTTAACTTAGTATATCGTGTGAAACTGGTGTGGGCCGCACGGCTATCTCCGCCGGTTTTGGAGTGCTAAATTTCTGTAAAGAAATTCCGTCGGAAATATGCATATAGGGATGGATCGCACGAGAAATTGTTCTTCCTCAAATTTTTCTGAGTTTTTCTTTCCAAATTTTCTACTATGGGGATGCACTTATCATTCCCCGGATAATGCAGCGACTCAGGGCTAAAACAGTGCACAATTTGTCACCATGTGCTCATTATTCACAAAACGCAGTTGAATTTCTAGCTCTCCTCTAGTGACGTGCAGGAGACATAGAGTGACGGCATGTGGTGACAAGCAGAGCTATTTACAGGTTCCAGTGATACGTCCACCGGGTCTCCATATGTAAGGATACATGCTGATAACTAGACCCCATGCAATGGCATCTTCAGCGAGGGTCTGGGACACTTCTACCGGAGATGCACTGTAATGCTTCTTACTATGATATTTCCGGCCGAAATCCAACGTTTTCAAGTTAGCATCCACCAAGGCCAACTAATACAATGCTTGCTCCGGAATATAACATATTTTTCTTCTTGCTACTGGCGTCGAAAGCAAAACACGACGCACCCACCAAACGACATCTGTTTTGCTGAGAATAAAAATTAAGCATTCTTGGTCTATCAGGTCAACTTGAATGGTGTTCTACAGGATGAGCGATGTGCTTGCAGGTTAGGCAAAATCTGAAAAAAATTCATTCGTTGATTCTACGTGTTTAAACGTTTAGCACTAGCACGGATACATATTTGACGGCAGATAGTGGATTATAAACGAGCTTAAAAGGGAGGTCGAGAAATACAGGAACTATAAGAATTGTGCGATCTACTAGGTTGGTATACTGTNTGCTTCTTACTATGATATTTCCGGCCGAAATCTAACGTTTTCAAGTTAACATCCACAAACGCCAACTAATACAATGCTTCCTGCGGAACATAACATGATTTTGTTCTTGTTACTGGCGTCGAAAGCCAAAAAGGTAAACGGAATACACTAACTTCATTCTCGTTTGTGCAAACCGCGACGCAACCACCAAACGACATCTGTCTTACTGAGAATAAATATAAAGTTTCTTGGCCTGTCAGGTCAACAGGAACTGTGTTATACAGGATGAACGATGTGCTTTCAGATCATGTGAAATCTGAAAACAATTCATTTGTTGATTATATGTGTTTAAATTGCGAGCGCTAGCACAGCTTCATATCTGAACACAGTTAGTGCGTAATTAAAGGGCTTAAGACGGTGGTCGAGAAATACAGGAACCATAAGAATTGTGCGATCTACTAGGTTGGTATACTGTGATAACTTATTTTTCACGTAGATACATAAGTTCGCAACAGAGCAGAATCTCAAACATAAATATCAATTTTCAACATCTTGGAACTGAAGATTAGAGTGAATTTGTAATATAATGTAATCTATAATCAACTTTGCGTTAACCATTAAAGGGTTATTTTCTTTCGTGATATTTTTTTTCGCAAGGGTAGAAGAATGAAATCAACACCGCCCCCCAAAGCCAGCATGGCTTTCCCCAATCTACCAGCTCAACCCAGCGCATGTAAGATAGAGATCAACGAGAATGGTACAATTGCTCTAGCCACAAACGCTTTCCTCAATCTGCAGCATGCTCCTAGGTTGGTGAGCAACTAGCTGTCTTTTACCCATTCCAGCAGGCAGATTTTTGTATGGCTTGTATTTCAAAAGAATGAAGTTTTATGCATGATAACTGAGTAATTTCAAATGTGTTCATCGTGAAGTACAAGGGCGCAAAAAGGGTGCTTCTACCAAGAGTTTGTCCCCCCTGCAGCTGAGCATTGACAGAGAACGTGTCAACCGTTCGTGGCACATCATATAAACGTGAAAACTCTTTGATGTAGGTGCTACTCAAATTGTCAGTTTTGTCCATAGTCTTCCTTTTACCGGATACCACGACGCAGTTTGCGTCCATTCGTACGCACAAGTCGTCCGCAGTGAATTCCGGGTCAGCTGGGATCTCCACATGCAACTTTTCGCCTCCAGACTTGTCGTCCTTTAGAACAGTCGGTCTGAGAACACCAGTTAGTTGGATTGCTAGTGCACCTTCGGATTTTCGCTTTTGTCCAGCTTCAGTCTCGGAGTGGGGTTTGATGCTTAACTGGCGATCACGGTCGAAAGTCATGTTTTTGTTCTTGTTACTGGCGTCGAAGGCCAAAAAGGTAAACGGAATACACTAACTTCATTCTCGTTTGTGCAAACCGCGGCGCAACCATCAAACGACATCTGTCTTACTGAGAATAAATATAAAGTTTTTTGGCCTGTCAGGTCAACAGGAACGGTGTTATACAGGATGAGCGATGTGCTTGCAGATCATGCGAAATCTGAAAACAATTCATTTGTTGATTGTATGTGTTTAAATTGTGAGCGCTAGCACCGCTTCACATCTGAACACAGTTAGTGCGTAATTAAAGGGCTTAAGACGGTGGTCGAGAAATACAGGAACCATAAGAATTGTGCGATCTACTAGGTTGGTATACTGTGATAACTTATTTTTCAAGTAGATACATAAGTACGCAACAGAGCAGAATCTCAAACAAAAATACCAATTTTCAACATCCTGGAACTGAAAATTAGAGTGAATTTGTAATATAATGTAATCTACAATCAACTTTGCGTTAACCATTAAAGGGTTATTTTCTTTCGTGATATTTTTTGTCGCAAGGGTGGATGGCATCTTTATGTTATTCGTGGAAACTCAGCATATAGATTTTTTTTTCGCAAGGGTGGATGGCATATTTTTGTTACTCGTGGAAACTCAAGCATATAGATTTAGCCACCATGGACGCTTGATGACATACGGCTTGACAGCGAGTGATGTACCAGGACAGTCCAATTTCACTGAGTAATACAATCAGGTTACCTAGGAACAAATTGACGGTGAAAAACAACCGTAATTGGAGAGCTGCATGTTTAGGTAGAGCAAGTGCTCGAACTTCGATTGGACCACCAGGAGGATGTTCAAACTTAGAACACAATTTCTAGTCCAAAGCCTTCCAAAACATGTTTCCATCCTGCAACTGCAGCACAGCTACACCGATGCAAATTGTATCATGCTTTCCAGTAGTACAAAGCAGAAGGACTGTGCATGTTAGATGTAAGGTCATTTTGGTTTAGTTCACCCATCAAGTATTTTTACAATATCAGGTGTTTATTTTCATGAAACATGCTAGAGGATTATATTCAGAATGCAGTGCGCAAACTGCAAACATAAGGATTCTTGCTATGTTCGTTCTATCTGGAATAATTATATTGTCATCTTTTATCAAAATGTTGATTTGATAAATGTAATTCTACAAGGTGAACCTGAGGATATCACTGAATTTCTTCTAACTGCATCAAGAATTGGAAATACTGTGTACTGCCAGTACTGCTGAATTAAATGTTTTCCGGTACATACAATGTCGCTTTATTTAATAATCATTATTGCATCTGTCTTGGCAATGTCAGTTTTGTGAAGGCCGTATGCCATGCTCTATCACGCGCATAACATGTACAAATTTTGCGTTATGGACAGGTGCTTTCGTGATACTTCGTTAGTGTCAGAAGAACACTCAAACTACTATTTAGCAGGAAGTACGCAATATGTGTTTGCAATTTCATGTACTAAATGATCTGCGGTTTACATACTTAACGCATAAGCTGTTGTTGGGGGGAAAACAGCTGTATCCTATTGTTCTTATTATGGCTTTGTAAAGCGTAATGAGTAAAGTAGGAGGTTGGTTCAACGTGAGTGAGGCATCTCTTTCGCCTTCTATTTTGCATCAGATGAATTCGATATCCTTAAACGATTGGAGAAAATGATGAACAAAAATCAAGTGTGGCGCTCTTATATTGGGCAGGGCTACTATGGAACCATCACACCCACACCCATAATACGCAACATTTTTGAAAATCCTGGATGGTGAGTTTGAATTTGAGGGGTGAGTAGATTAGAAATGTCCTTTTCCAGGAGGTTGTCGTTTTGACGTCGTACTTTAAAATTACTTTGAAATTACGTAATCTAATGCTATTCGTTCAACTGGCGTGTGATCATTTAGTCCAGCTTTACATCGCCTATATCACACGTTCTTGAGTTCTCTTGTATTGTCCTTTGGGCCTAGAAGCGTCGCTGTTTGAAAATCTAAACATGTCAATCAGCCTAAGCTACGATACACTAAGTTCCGCCCCCATTCGACCTCAGGGTAGTGCAGATCCTCTGTTCTATTGACTCTTGATATATGGACTGCCGTGTTACATAATCTGATCCAAAGCCATTACTAACATTTTATATACCATAGTTTGATGCCGAAAACCGTACAGTTGCCCGGTACAAATCCGATGCATTATCTAGACCGAGGAGGGGTGCTGAGGACATATTTCTTGTGACATGTTACAAATTACGGAAGAAGAGCTTAAATCCTCGCAGACACAGCTGAGGGCCAAAAACTGCGGCTACACTTGACCTCTTGAACCGAATTAGCTTCCATGAAATGATCGAACGAGTGATTAAGCAATAATGCGACAAGGTATAAACCTTATAATCTCTAAAAGAAGTCTTGGTGGAAGAAAAAAGGCCCTCGCTGCGGAGTTATCTATTGGAAAATGCCAACTGAACAGTTACAGACTATTGGACGGGGAAGCAAAACTCTCATATACATCTTGTTTACAAAAATCAATATCTATCTTCTCCTTGAAAGCGTTTTCCTAAACTTTCCTGAATACTCATTGACTGTTAGTCAATTGCAAGCAAATGCTATAGAGCGACTACACAAATTCCGTAATAGATTTAACTTTTTAAGAGATGCAAAGCGGATTTACGAGAAAAAATTGGTGCACATGAAAGTATATTGAGGGTCTCAGTCAATCATTACAAATAAACTGCAATCGCTCTCAGCCAGCACAAATTCTGCGGCGATGGGGAGAACAAATCAAGCCACCCATGGTTTGTTATGAGGAATACTACAATACAGATGTATACCATGGGTTTCTAATTAAGCCAGTTATTAGTACCAATATTACCAAGTGCTAATGTGCGTATGAATCAGGTTGATATAAATCATTCAACAACCATTGCTGTACAAAATAACAAAAGATAGGTGCAGCGTAGGCTTTGCAAAATGGCATTTTTGACCGTAGTATTGTTCTGATAATAAACTGACCTACGTACTCGAGTTACTGAGTGCTGCTGCGTTACACCGGAATGTTCTGGTCTCTGGATTTTTCATAAGAAATATATATATCTTTGACCGTTTCCAATTATGCTATATCTTGGTTACCTAGTATGGCAAAATGTACTATTAATTACTGATAGATATACCATGAAACTTATGAGGAACAATTCGGGTCGTATAGACTCATCCAGTGATTTAATTCAAAGTATCTGGAAAGTTGCTGAATTTCGCCTCTCCTAGTAAACAACATCGCGTAGTCAGAGTAGAGAAAGATTAAAATCTAAAAAGTCCTGGGCTAAATGATTTCCTGACATAAATATTTTTAGTTGGAAACTGTCGGTTTACAGAATAAAGGTGTGCTTTCAGGTTTGTCGTCACTAATATTTTGCATGCAGTTTTTCCGGTGACCGCAAAACATTTACATAATTGCGAAAGGGAATAGTGGTGCTGTGGACGCCGCTACAAGGATCTTGGGAACCTAAAGGTAACCAATATTTGGTCATTGGTTGACTACCGAATTGGACTACCACTTTTTGCTAAAGAGTGTTAGAATTGTAACTAACCCAGAGGAACTCAAGTAATGGGCTTGCTTATCAGGATTAGATTATCGGAGTTTTTCTACAGGGTGGAGTGAAAAACATCCCAGGCGACTGAGTAATAATTCATCACATAACTATCCAATACGAACAGTCCATCTGTTTTCATCTTCCTGAAAAATTTTGAAGCGGAATCTTGAACAAAACAGTTGACCGTTTCCTGCCGAAGAGGCGTTGATTACCAACCCTAATGGGTGATTGGTAACATCTTTATGGGAATTTACGACCCACACGGCAAACGAAAGGTCCTCTCAAAGCCACACCCTGTTTACCGCGACTTCAAAATCCTTCCCGAATTTGCCTGGCAAATTCAAAATTTCACGTTACATAGGGATTGATTTCTGCAGTACAAATTGTGGTGCAGAAATTAAATATGTTTAAAATAATAATATGCAAGCAAATATTCAAGGTGTTCATGTATGCTTGATTATTTATTCAACAAACCGTTTCTGTGATCCGCATGACGATGCAAATCAAGTTATTAATCAGTCAAGTGACTGATAACTGTTGCTTTCTAAGGGATGTAGAGTTTTATTTCAAGGATCCGAGATCAATTGAAACATTGTTTGTCAAACGGTTGTCTCAAAAACTGACAACTCCTATTCAACCGAGGGCAGAATGTTTTGAACGCTAGAAGCTTACCAATTAATAGCAAATTACCTAAATGTCATAGAGCATGGGTAAAGTTGTAGTGTAGTAGCTTAGGCCTATACAGGTTATTCTGGTACTCAAACACTGAAATGTTTGTTGAAAGCTATCTTAAGCATTTAATTCCACAGACCTTTTGGACAAGCTTAGTTTTGTAGCCTATGCAGGTAAACACGTATACGTGATTCGGTCGTTAGAATGTAAAGATCAATACTTTGCGTTCTTTACTCAATTATCTTAAATCTGACGCTATTTTGAAACCATTTTCTGCGAAAGATCATTCAACCGTTATAACTGGTGCATCTCCAACTGGATTAGGTGTTATTCTCGAACAAAATGGCCGTCCTGTCATTTGTGCATCTCGTCGACTAACACAAGCCGAACAGGGCTATTCTCAAACAGCGTGAGTCTCTTGCTGTCCACTGGGGTGTAAGTGAATTACACAGGTATCCTTTTGGCCAATTCTTTCAAATGGAGGTTTATCCACAAATGCGGTACTATAAGTACAATAGTAAAATGATAAAGCTTTACAAACCTCAAATCGTGGGACTATGCCGGCTTCTATACACCGGTTTAGGAACTGCTAATTCCTAACGGGTCTCAAAGTCCACGCCGACTCGGAGCCACGTTTTTACAAGCTAGCGAAACCACGTGTGAAATTAAACGACACGTCCGATGACAGCTTAGTAGTCCACAAAGCATGTCCATCAGATAGAGAATTCCTTCGCCACGACAACTTAATTT